ACCGGTTTTCCAATTAAAAGCTATTATGTGCTAAATAAAGTACTATTTTGCTCCATTTTAACTTTAACATTTAGAATAAACTGGGTTTTTGATTACATTAATAAACTAAACGGGAGGAATAGCATGGTTGACACTTATTATTGTTGACAAAGGCTATTTGTTATGTAATGTCGTCTTTAATTATAGCAAAGAGTTTCTCAAACACCTGTTTAACAGTTCAAATTGATTCAGGTAATTCAGGCAGGAGTGGGCCTGAGAAAACAGAAACACACTGTGTACACTCTCAATGTAAACGCTCCATTCAACTTGAAATGGAGCAAAATAGACTGGTGTTACATCATGGCCTTTGGTTCAAAACCACGAAACAGAATCCAACAAAAAAATTCATACAAGAAAGAAAAATGTTTGGGATCATCAATTTTATAATTGAATTTGAGATTTTTTTTCATAAGTTAATTCTGATACGCCCTCCTGTGAGAGGGGGGTGGGCATTTTTGGGACACCCTGCAGTAGAGTTATAATCCACCAGAGCTGGATCCAAGATGTATATGAAGAAATAAAATTAATCTCATTACAGGTATTTAAAGAATAATATTGTTCAAGCAACCTGTGTGTTGTTGCTGCGTGTTCAATAGTCGGGAAGAATTTCTGTAGACTGGGAGTTCATTGAGGCAGGTTTTTCTACGTGTTTACAAAAATACGTTTCAATGATGACAACATTTGTTTGTCTTTATATTTGACAGGCTTGTTTAAACAGTCATGGCAAACTACTAGCCCACATTTCAATCAAGTACGACATGTATTTAAGGAAATATTGTTCAAGCAACGTGTGTGTTGTTTCTGTGTGTTCAATAGTCGGGAAGAAGTTCTGTAAAATTGGACTTCATTTATGCACGTTTAGCAAAAATTAATTTCAATGAGGACAACATTCGTTTTTCTTTATAGGCTTGTTTTACCAGTCGTTAGCAATCACTAGCCCACAAGTACATTTCAATCCAGTAGGACAGGTATTTAATGAATTATTGTTCACGCAAACCGTGTATTTTTTCTGCGTGTTCAATAGTCAGGAAGAATTTCTGCAGACTGTAAGTTCATTTGGGCAGGTTTTTCTACGGGATGACAAACGTTAATTTCTAAGGACGACGTCATCATGTTTGTCTTGATATTTTATGGGCTTTACCAGTCATGACCAATCATTAGCCGACATTTGAATCGAGTACGACATGTTTTTAATGAATTATCGATCAAGCAACGTGTATGTTTTTTTTTTTCTTGGCCTTCTTGGCCTAGATATCAAGGTGTTATCATTTTTCACATAATGTCCAATTCATTTTTGTGAGGGTAACTGTGCTATTAAATAACTTTGTGAATTTGAAGCTCATCAAAAATAACATTTTGGCGTATTAACGATTTATGCAACTAAGGCCTATTTCAACTTAAAATCAGCTTGGTAACTATTATTTTCGGATTCAGCACCCCGAAATTAGGTAAAACAGCTATGTTACCAACTTCTACTAAAAATGCCTCTTCTTGCCCTAAATGAGCCTTTTTTTGTAATTATCGCCTAGACTATCCACCCAACGGAGATGCTGGGGGTTGCATAATTTTATTTAGCATGTTGTGCATTCAACATCGAGCAACCAACCCTCCTTAAAGGCCAAAAACAAATTGAGAACCATGGAATTAAAAGGGACGACCTAAGTTGTTCCCTGTCCTTACTTCGGACGGGCTAAGTAATTTATAAGACGTTGGAGAATCGTTAGGTCAGGGAACCATCTGGCTTGAACCCGTTTGCAAACAGAATGTTGACTAACTAAATTTGGTAAATAGAGCGAGGGGGCAGTCATTTGAAAAAAGTCATTATTTTCAACGATGGTTAGCCGATTTCACGGGATGCTTGAGTCTGTTATTCATTTACAGTCAAGTAGGGTTTTCATAGTAATTTGGTATATTTTTTTATGTTTCAAATGCTGTAAGTTACTTTAAAACGTAAGAAAATATAGACACATTTTGGAAGGACCGACGGACATATTTTTCAAGTTATTCTTCTTTTCTTTCCACATGCAATACGGAACTTAAATCTTTGTTATTTTGATACATCTTGATACATGTATAAGTTTCGGTACAACTTCGTTGACTGTACCTGCTTATTTTGTGTATTAAAGATTATGTTGACTGTGTTCATTCAAAGGTGTAGAAATAGTCTGTGACGTTTGTTGGGCTTGGCCTGGTAGAATTTGTGGTTGCAGCGGTCTTTGTTATTCAAATGTTTACCTTTTGTTACAGTCTGTTGCATTTGGATCAGACAGAGGTGGACGGGTTGGTTTTTTATTTATTTTTTTGATCGAGCACACAGGTTTGATCTGGTACACGATATCCTGTGGAGACGTATACCTACACAATAGGGAACAAAATATTGTATACGTCTCCACAGATCAGTTTCTATATGTAAAAACGTCTCCACAAGGTTATCACCAAATATATAGATATGTGGATTTTACTCAAAATCTAGGAATTTCCAAGGTGTGCTGATTTGTTGCAAATTGAAGTATTTTATGTGAGGGATATTACGTTCGAATTTCAGCCCAGGAAATGAATTTTTGGTTAAAATAGGAGCATTTTGAAAGTAAACTTTCAAACTCGCAAACGTTGGTTCACGAGAACAACTCCCCGAAGAAATGACTCCACAAGCCAAACAAATTCCAGAATGTTTGTATGTATAGTAGTGTGGAGATCAGACACTGTGTACGGTACGTGTGTAAAGCCACACTAGTGACGCTACAGACGTCTCATATCATCTATCTGTGCACATAATTTTGTGCAACCCCGCGTCATCCAATGGTGCTGGCTCTTGAACTTGTGGCTTCATATAAACCAGATGTTCGGCCAGTGCTGTGGATTGGTCAATAGCTTCCAGGTTTCGCCTTATACAACATCGGGTTACCGAAGTTACGATAAAAGACGACCATTGAATGGTCAGAATCTGCAGGTTATGATTCAGTGTTGTTTCTCATAATCTGCACGCATAATCATAGACGCTTTGCCCTCTAAAAAATAAATATAAAAAATACTCAATTTCATGTCACCTTACGGATTGTTGAAATAATTTAATATAGCTCTATGGATATAATTATTATAAAAGACATAACTTGAAAATAGAGTATGTGAATATTAATAACGTACGTGAAATTTTGTGCTACTCAATAACATGAACTTTATGCATATTTTGGAAAAAAAATTGCAACCTGATGCCACTTCCGCGAATGTGTACAAAGTCCATGGAGAGTCAAGACAATTTTCTGAGTATTTCCTAACAAAATTGGATGTTCCTCAGTCCCAGATTCATGTCTTATCATCATTTTTGCATGAATGAACTTCATTTAGATGATATATGAAAAACAAAATGGCGTCAGGTTGCCACATCTTTCCATCATTTTTTTTAAATGGAGCGAGCCACTTTTTTTGTATTTTCTTTTTGGTCTAATTCGAACACTTTCTTTGTGACTGACCCTGCATTCCCTAATTTCTTTACAATGGACTATGCCAGCTAACAGAAAATCAAATATGGTTTGACTTAACTTAAGTTATTTTTAGGTAGTGGCGTATATTTATACCCCCACCCCAATATTTTAAAAGACTGCCCTTTTACGTTCAAGTGCCCTTTTTCGCAAGTGTTTACCCCCCCCCCCCCAAATAATTTAAAAGAGTGGCCGTTTTTAAACAAGTAACCCCCCCCCTTCTTCTTCTTCTTCTTTTTTTTTTAAAAACAAGTGCCCTTTTTGCAAACCTCTGAGGCATCCCGCATTGCTTCGGCCGAGGAGAGTCGCCGTCACCGTCATGTTTCCGCTCCATTGGCCAAGACCTCTGCTGATCCCAAACTTGTGTGTGAAAGGTGTGGGCGTGTCTGCCGTGCCCGTATAGGCCTGCTGTCAAATTAGAAAGCTGTCTGCGACACTGAGGACGTCATTGTCGTCGATGAACGACTGGCTGCAATCATGATGCTTACTATTTTACCGTATACTTATTTTGTGTTTAGCAATATTTGTGTATAAAAAACTTTCCTTTTTTTTGTTTTACAGGAACGACAATTCTACTGAGTCGAGAAAAGCTGAATCATGGGGCGTCGTGGGTTATCTGTTTGTAATCTCCTTTGCCGAGCCTCGGTTTTGCTTCTGATGTTGCTTCCAATATTCCTGACTGAAGGTTTCGATGTCGATGTCAACTCTTCGGGAGAGAAAAAGGCGGCTGGTCAAATCTTGACCTACGCAAATGTTAGTGAGGTGGGTCACAACGAAGCAGCTCAACGAGGGAACACCGTAGGTAGAATTGAGGACCAATGGAGCGGCACACGTTCGAGCAGCCGAGATCGACGGGCAGGTGGGGGAGAAAGCGAGGATGACGTGAAGTTCTGCCCTCTTACGAGCCGTCTAGAGGAACAGGATCTTCCTAATCATATTTGCGATGATGGCGAGAAGGTTCCCACCTGGAGCCTAAGTCATGATTCGAAATGTGATATCAACCAAAAGGGCGAGTACAGGTTGGTGAGATTCCTAGTTTCCTTACAGTTGAATTAGATTTTTTTTTTTTATATTTGTCGAACAATTAGATTGTTGATAGAGAAATTGTTGTGGTTGGGAATTCAGGGGCCGGCTTAGTTCAGGCCTGTTTTGTGGTCCTTGATTAATATCATTTAAAGCTAATAAATTCACTATAGGCCTACTCGCTTTTTCGTCCATGTCACAGATTCTATAATTGTGAAAAACCGCATGGTGGTCCACCTGGTCCTGGGAAGTGGATAGCCGTCATTGTACTACTAGTACTGATTATTCTTTGTCTGAGCTGCTTCATTGTCATGAGGTAATTACTGCAATCCTCTGTTCTGTAAACTCTCACGTCATAAAATTCAGAAACAAGTTGTCAATCCGACGCATACATATAACTACATGTGTTAAAACCTATTGAAGTTCTCGAATTTGTATTCTAAATACGTTGTACGTATCTTGTCTTTACCATTTCAAAGAAAGAGAAGGGGATCTCTGAACGTGCACAGATGGGAGGAAGAGCAACACAGGAGTGGCACTCCGTCGCCTAGAGCCTACCGGCATAGAGAACCATCTGTGCCCTCTGTTAGTTATACATTGGACAAAGGAGCCACCATAGAACGTGGCGAATGTCCTAGAGGAGCTGAGATTTACAGTTCTAATTCTAGCGCAGATAACTCCGAGCAAGGCGTCCAAACAGTCTCTCTTCCTTTGGTAGAGGACTTGGACTCCACCAATTCTATCCAGGTCCTCCGCGGAAAAGATCCATTCTGGCTGGTTATGATGGGCCAGTTTGGTCCAGAGGGAGGCATCCTGTCCTGCGAGGATTCTGATGTCATCGTAGAAATTCCCCCGGGTGCTATTCCTCCTGATCGCCGAGACCAGCTCATTATAGCAAGGATTTGTTTGTGCCCAGACTCCATCGGACCCAAGCTGACAGATCCCGACTCCTTGTGGCTCAGTCCACTCGTCGACCTCGAATCTCCTGGTCTGGACAGATTCGATAAAAATGTCCTCATCAAGATTCCGCACCGAGCTCGAGTGCAGCCCGGCTGGACCTTCAGTGTACATACTGATGACACCAAGTGCAACGGGCAGACCGATAACACTCCTTCCACCGTTGACCTTGTTCCTGAGGCTACTACGTTTCTTCACGGTAAAGACACCGATACCCAGGCAATGTGGAATTGTGTGGAGCAGAAATGGCATTTTCGCACGGAAGAAAAGGCTTCAAACGATGTGACCAGGTTAACTTTTTCGGTCGATGAGAAATACGTCATTATCTCCACTTCTCACTTCTCCCAGTATGTCTGCTCAGGGTGCAGTAAAACACATCCTCTAAACCTGGAAGCTGTGGTGTACTGGCAACACTACAAGGTCGAAGGTCTCCATCAGATGTATCTCAATGTCTACATCATTGACACAATTAAGGTATAGTTTTATGTAAAATTTCTTTTTTTTTTCGATTGAATAATGAAACTGGCGTTTACTCAGGTTTTGTGGTCACAGCATCTCAATTCCACAAACCATAAGGACAACCAAACATATAATTAATGTTCATGATAGTCAACCTCAGTCGAGGGTAGTGCCCGAGGATTGTTGAGGTTTTCATTTTTGAAGGTTTAGACAATTTTACGACCAAACTATTGCAAACACATTGTGTGTATATATCTCCTGAGAACCGTTCGAATGGAGATTTTTACCAAAATTTAATGGCGTTAATATTCGAGACATTTTAAAGATTATCTGTTGTGTTCATGCGTTGTGCACGAATAGGATACACGCAAAGCCAGCGTCGAAAGCAACGAGAGATCAAGCAAACTGGCAGGCGCCAAAAGTGGCATGACGGGATACTACCCACTCAGTTTGGAATATACGTCTGGTGAGGCTTCCTCGTTCACAATCTACGTAGACGAGGAGTGCATGGATGACGACTGGAAATGGGTTCTAAATTCTTACAAAGGAACACTCCCGGCTAAGCGAGTGAGAAGAAACACAATGGACGATTCACTTTATTTAGTTGGCCATTCCATTTAGCAAAGCAATTAACATACTGATTGACTTTTTTTGCTAGTCACAGTGGGCACTGCAAGCCTAGTGTATGCCTGGTGCCTATCTGACTGACTGACTGACCAACTGACCGACGTACCCCCTCACCCACCCACCCACACACACGACCTTACACAGGCATAGAAGTGGGGTAGGCCTTCTTCCTTTGAACATACCTTGAACATACCTTGAAGGCCTCACCTCCATCTTCATGTCATCTAGAAGAGAAGTGTGGCAGGGTTTAGGGGGCTTCATTTGCCCATTAAAAACCCCAAGTTACTTAAATTCTGCTTGAAGCAGAGAAGTATGGGCGCTTGGATGGCACTCTCAGGCAGTTTGTTCCAGCTATCCAAATAGCGTACCAAAATGTTGCAATGTTTCACACTAATTTCAAAATGCTTTGATTTTAACCAGAATTAATTTCCTGGGCTGAAATTTGGACTTAATATCCCTTTTCTAAAACTCTTCTATTCGGGACACATCAACCCACCTTGGAAATCCTTGTTTTTGAGAAAAATCCAGATATCTATTTCGTGAAAAAAACTTGTTGGGTACCAAAACGGTACCCCCGCAAGTCGGTGGGCATTCCTTGTGGGGTACCTCCCATGTTCCGGTACCCTATAAGGCAGTGTTTATACGTTCACCCAAGTGTGTATCGGGGACCTCTATTGCCCTCTTTTGTTTGTACTTTAAGTTTTTAAGGAAGACCTCCCATAATGTTTTGTACACGATTGCCAAATTGGGGACCTTCAGTAATTAGGGATATTAAATGCATAAACAAACTGCTAGGCACACCCTCAACCCTCGTCACCCACCCACCCACCCACTTACTCGTCCTTCATGTTTCTTATCCACAGGAGATGTCAGTCGAATCAGTCATTCGTGGCTGCTGTTCATCCCACCTGTCTACTCGAGAGATGTTCACCTTCGTTCCGAGGGACCTTTCCAAGCATGAGCAACTCAGCTTTTTCCAAGCGATGATCGGCATCAGGCAGCTTAAGTTACAAGATGTGGTCATGAAAATGCCAATTCTTGTAACTGCTCCCCTTACTAAGGTAAAAGACAGAGAGTTTTAATCGAGTTACTAACAAGTCAACCCAAATTCATCCCAATCTCTAGTTAAGTCAAATGATAGGGACAAAGACAATCCGTTGCCATTGCACATTAAAACGATATTTACGGTTTTATTGACGTTCTGGTCATATGAAGTTGCAACTATAATGTTGGAAAAGATATAAAGGAAATTCACAACGGCGTTTGTTTATTTTACAGGGATGTATATGTAGAGCTGCCGGAGCTTCTAACACCGATAACACCAGCAGTGAGGGTAGGTGGTATTTCTACGTTGTCCCACTAATTTTCGTTTTTCTCATTTATGCCATTGCTTACCCTATTATGTTCAAGCTTAACCCTGAAAAATATAAAAATATCATTATTTCTAGTAATTTTAAAGATTTTCACTTTGAAAGAGACTTCGAACGAGAAAAATCCGGTCCACGTGTAGTAAGTGAATAATTACATTAGACATTTCGATGTCCCTGTTTCCGTAACACCATCGTCATCAGGGATTGGGACCAGTCTTGCTCGTAAGGTGGGTCTGTTTGAGCAAAATAAATAAATAAAGAAATAAAGAAATAAACGCCTTTGGAGGGTAGAAGACTTCCAATATTGACCTTTCGCAAGAAGTAAAAAATAAATTATTGAAAAGCAAAACTTGAAAAGTTATCAATTAAATGGCTCTATTTGTTGATTCTACTGCACTGTAGCTAGTTCTCAGGGACTGCTGTTCCAAGTCCAATCCACTTCTCTGGAAATGTTACAATCTCATTGTCTTATTGAAATGTATATGGTGCCAATGGAATGTTTAATTTCTTTTTGTTTTTTTGGCAAGTCCCCATCCGTGACGAAGAAATTGACTTTGTCGCCGAGCGACTGCCCTGCAGCAAATGGCGCCCTCTCTACCGTAAACTGATGGGAAAGGGCGCCGACAACGGCATCGAAGAGATCTGGTACAGAGATCGCACCGACTCCCGAGAGCAGATCCACAGCGCCCTCGTCGGCTGGCGGAGCAGCAAAGGTCGCATGGCAACGGTCGAGAAACTCATCACAGCTCTTCAGCAAGTAGAGCTTCGAGACATTGCTGATCAGCTACAGTCGTTTTGCCCAGAGTCGCGAGAGTAAACAGACGATGTTCTCACATCCTCTGATGCATGTGTGGAAATGGAAACACATACGGTCCTTGTCCAATCCGTCTTAGCCGAGTAGTCTCTTTGAGTATTCAAGAGAGAGTTCAATCAACACCCAGTCAACGTGATTTAATAATGTAGGCCAACTCTGTAACGTCCCCAGTCAGGTTCATCAGGAATCTGAAGTAAGCTAATTGACTTAAATCAGGTCAAGAATATCGTTCATTACAAATCAAGTTCGTCTAAGCTGTAGCCAAATGGAGGCATTCAGAGATCGAATTCGACTTAATCAATCAATTTAAAACTAATGTGAAGTAATTTAGTGCGGTGTGTGCCTAAGCGTGTTCCCTGTTTTGAAGAAGCAGGTGGAAATGTGCACAGTTCTGCGCAGTCATTCGCTTGTATGATTTTATTGGACCGAGTATAGTACTGAACTAAAGATCGCTTACCAAAAAAAGTGAACCTAGAATAAGTAAGAAAATGTAGCATAATAGTCCTTGGGCTACGGGGGTCTTAGTGCACCCCCAGAACCCACCACCACCGATATTTTATAATCCTTGGCATGTCCCTAATAGGAAAAAAAGATGATAACAGTGAAAATAATAGTCTTGGACGTTAAATATGTGTACTCATTGCTTGAACGAAATTCGAAATTGTCAGACAAAAGACGAAATTAAACATCCGAAGTGCACTAAGTCAATGTTGCTGTACGAATTTGAATATTAGAATACGTACTTGAACGATGAACGTTTTAGAATAGCCGGAAACCTATATTTTGATTTTGAAGGAATTGGGTCAAGTTGAGAACTCATTTTCCCTGTTTACAATGTACATTTGGTTTTTTTTTAATAGTTTGTTTGGTTGTTTGGAAGTTGGTTTTAAAGTATGGTTCGAAGTAAGTTTTTAGTAGTTAGATTTAAGCTGAAAAAATATGCAAACTATGGCTTTTAGGGGCGAAAAAAGAGAGGGTAGATCTGAGGGTATACTTACTTTGACATGGGTTGCTTTTAAAAAAAATAGAACGCGACCTTAATACTGAAGGCAGTTGCTAAAGAAATTGTAAATAAAAGAACATTTATAAATTGTTCAACGGGAGTTTAGTTCCATTACCATCTTTAAACCAAGTGTGCCTTTTTACACTAATTTACTTTTTGGATATAGCTGCAAATGATGTAATGTGCCTATCAGTTGTAACTTGCACGTTGTTACGTCATTGTTGCATTTGCAACTTTTTACTGAGCCCACTGAAAGGGGTCGACCTATTGCTGGTCAACACCGCATGATTAGCCGTGTTTACCAGTTTTGTATAAATATTGTACAGTGTATCTTTTTAATACTTTTATTTAATTAGTATTAACTTGGTTTATCTATTTTGATATATATTTTGGGTATACTGGGTTTCCAACAAATATGTTTGTCTATTGATTGTTTTATAGAAGGCGCTAGGCCTATTCATATTAATCTCAAGTGTTGAATCAACATGGCAAATAGTATGACAAGAGTACAAATGAATTTGACTTTTGTAAATACTTGTTTTTTTTCCCTCCTGAACGGGTACTTATCCTTTTAATAAGGCTATTTTAAACCTTTTTTCAGCATTACACATATGTCAAAATATGAAAGAAATTGAACAATTAAATAACAATTGCACCGTGGGCTTACCGTTGTTTCAATATGAAGCACTGTTGAAAGAATAATTTCACGGGGAGTTAAGTTCAATACCATCTTTAAACCAAGAAGGATTGTTAACACTAATTTCATTATTTGTACGTTTTAGATATAGCTACAAAAAGGTGTAACATAACTTGCACGTTGTTACGTCATTGTTGCATTTACAACTATAACTGAGCCCACAGAAAGGGGTCGACCTATTACTGGTAAACACCGCATGATTAGCCTCCAAATTCTGCAATATCACATCATTGCGGCTCTGATAGCACAATGATCACAACGACCATTTAAGGGAAAACGACAGTGTTTTACTAATTGTGTATATACACGTACAGTGTATGGTGTATATGTATATATTTTCATTCAATCAACATTAACTTGGTTCATCTATTTGGATACACATTTTGAGTATGCCGGTTTTTATACTAATTTTTGCTTTGTGATTTTTATGGAAGGCGTTATGTCAGTTTTAAGTTTTGTATTATTAAATTACATGTATTATTCTTATTATAACCACCGCATTTGGGAGACACCTTAGCGTCGCAAGTTATATCTTTGGAAGACATGGGACACTAGAATACCTTTATTTGTCTTTCAAATGCCTCAACTCCTAATTAGAGGCAAAACTGTAATGTTTCAAACAGGCTAGATCGATTGCTGGTGGTACAAAACATAAATATTCCAAATTCGTGGGTGAAGGATAAGACAAAATTTAAAAAAAAGAATGATAAAAAATCAGCTGAGCAAATTCAATTAAAAGACAAACCTTTAACGAACGCAAGAATTAAATACTGCTAAACAGTATGTGTGGGTTTGCCTTAAACAATGAAGAAAATATTGTGTCAAAATAATAGGAATATTACAGAAGTGAATCAATAATGAAGACGTTTTAAATAAAATAATTTGGAATTTGGTTTTGACATTTAGTTCAAAATACGGTTAAGTAAATAAAGAAAATACGCAAACCATGGGCTTTCAATTGGAAAGGAGGAGGTAGGCCTAAAGGTACTTATAAAATAGTGCGATATGGGTTGATTTTCTAAAAATATAGAACACAGCTCTATAGTGATAGCATAACATAGGGACGATGAAGTTCTTGGTGAATGCAGTTCCTAAAGAAAGTATAAATATTAAGGTTTCTTTTTAGGATGAATTAGTTGATGATCAAAAAATAATAGAGAGAGGTGTTTTAGAATCTTGCAGAATTTTCTTAATAAAATAAAGTTGCAAAACTGTTTGGAGAAAATGGTCTATACAATGTTGTGTATATACCGTCAGTACTTTATTCTTAGTATTATTACTCATGGTTTATTTTATTAAACCTTCTCGGTCAAAAGGCCGAATTGCAGTTTAATTTACAAACATTAAATCATTGTACAGGGCCAGGTTGACCCCAAAAACGCAACCCTAAAACATTTGCTTTTTCCCCCACAAACTTGATTGGTGAATTTTTATATTTTTGATATCAGAGCTGAGAGCTTTTTCTTTCAAATACTGAAAACGTCATGAAAACAGCAAATGGGGTTGCTGCGAAAATGCCAATATTAGGCAAAAGAAGTCATTTTTCATCCGTTTGAATGGCATTACCACAGTTAAGGGATTTACACTATACCTATTTGTGCATGAAATGCATGTAACGCATTGTGTCCTAATATTTGCAAACACTGCAGGACATACAATTTTAGGTCAAATCTTAAGTCTTCCAACAATTTGAAATGTTGATAAAATATTTAACATCATAAAAAAAGAATATATATTTTAATTGTAATATATACATTTAATGGAAATAGACCCCCATCAAACAAATAAAATAAAATGACACACGAGATGTCCAACGAGATGTCCAATATCGAATATTCCCTCCCGCATCAATCTCATTGGTTTTTAAGGTGAAGTTGGAGACTGGAATTCTTTTTACGAGTAGTCAAGGCCCATCACATTTGACAAAAGATAAAAACTTCGTCCTGTACTGATAATAACATAAGATTAAATAACTTTGTTCAGTCATAAGTCAATGTTTCTTTTAATTTAGTTGCATTTTTCCCCTTCGAATGTCACTTCTGCTGCCTTTAACTCTGTATTCGTACCCAATAGGTGTCTGTGTACATATTGCACATTCATATGAAATGATTGGTGAGGTATATACGACTAAAAGGTGGTTAAGGAAAAAAAATATTATCGGCTTATTATGATCGGTGGTAGACACGCCGTATATATGCTACGTTCTCCATATGCCTTAAGCTAAACGTGTTGTTTGAATACATTTGGAAGCTCAAATTTAAGGGTGCAGACCAAAAAATAAACTCCCATATCTGGCACCCAAAATAACTAGCCCCTTTCATAAAATCAGGGGTGGGGGTTCTAAACTGTCTTAGGTGATCTACAGCACATTAAAATAAACTTAATTTACTACCTCTCCCTTTTTGTTCGTTTTGGGGGTACAACCTATTTACAATTGGTGATTTTTCCCATCTAGGATGATATATACCATGACATCCCATCGCCTTTTTAAAGATATGTTCCGTCTGTTTTCTAAAAAATATAGCGACATTCATTTGGGTCCGATTTCAACCCAAATTTCACAGAAATACAAATTAAAAATTGTTGTGGTTTTGGACCTTTCATTTCAACCAAAAATTATTTGCAGTGTTAACAAAAAAATAAGGTTTACAAGTCGTGTTTTGGTCGGCGTACATAATTTGCTAAATGCGCATAGGGCCTACCTCAAAATTCTTTTAAAAATACTCAGAACTCTCAAAGCTATTCCAGCTGCACATGCAGAAAAATGATGATCAATGTGCCATCTTTCATTTTCTTTTCATTTTTTGGTGGGTTGACCATTGAATTTTTTAAAAGATATTCTCACCCAAAGAAGACAACCTCTATTTTCCCCAAGGCGGAAAAGTAGCCTTCTTGAAAAACGATCCCTCCACAACATGGCAAAATAGCGCCACTTTCGAGCCCAATAGCATCCAAAAAGCTCAGAATTGGAAGTCCCAAGTCCGGCCAGAGGTTCATTGCCATATTTTTTTCCAATTCCACAATTTTATGGCTCTAAGAACTCTCTAATATAGAATATTTTGAGGGTATAACTTTTATTCATGAGCTCGGCGGATGGGTTAAGGCCTATTCACAGGTGTGCACCCTTACACGTCAATTTCCTTCAATATATTACATTTATTTTTTGGCGGTTCCTGTTAATTTTCAATAACTGTGTTTACATCTCGAACGGCCAGACGTACGTCGGATTAGCGCGGTGAGCAGTGTTTGTGTAGCACGCCCTCTTTGTAAGAAATAATGTTGCATGACGATAAAATACGGAGTGTCCTTCATACTGCAATTTCCTTGAATTATATTACATTCATTCTTTGGCGGTTCCTGTCAAGTTTCTAGAGTTTTGTGTCAAATACCATGACAAAATAGCATTTGTGTTTATCTTGAGTTCCCAATTTCACAATAACTGTGTTGACATGACGAGAAAATACGGAGTGTCCTTCATACTGCAATTTCCTTAAATTATATTACATTCATTCTTGGGCGGTTCCTGTAAAGTTTCTAGAATTTCGTGTCAAATACCATGACAAAATATTACAGGAAATTCCTTTGCAATACAATGTGTTTATCTTGAGTTCCAAATTTCATAATAACTGTGTTCACATGACGAAAAAATACGGAGTGTCCTTCATACTGCAATTTCCTTAAATTATATTACATTCATTCTTGGGCGGTTCCTGTCAAGTTTCTAGAATTTCGTGT